TTGTGGTTGGCACAACCCAATAACAAAAAAAAAAAAAAAAAAAAAAAAAAAAAAAGAAAGAGAAAAACTCCACTGGAAAGGAAGCCTGTCTTTATGGCCAAAGAATCTGGAAGGGGGGCCCTGCAGTAGAGGGTGGGGACTGACCCCTCTACTGTCTTTGTTTTCTCTCCCAGCCTGATCCCAGCAAAGGCCACTCCCAGGACCACTTTCTGGTGGCAGTGCTAGTAGCAGCAGTGGTCAGTGATCTGCCTACAACTCTGAAATTTTAACCACAGGAAAATGGGAAATGGGCCCCCGTGACTCAAAGAATGTGGGGGAATCCACGCTTTTTGTTTACTCTATTTTTTGTTACCAGGTTGCCTTAGGTGGTGAACCCAGTCAAGAGACATCACAAAAGATAAGATAAACCCCAAGATATTCATACCAGACTAAAAAAACTAGCTCTTGGGGCCTGAAGAGTGTGGGATGAATCAGAGAGAGGAGAGAGGAGGAAGTTCTAGGTTTATCTCTAATGTGCACCTGTATGGAGTAACTCAAAGCTGTGTACTGTGGCTTTGAGAACTTGACCTCTCTGTAGTTAAGACTGACCTTGGGTGGTTCACACTGGGGTTTTCCCAAACAGTGTTGCCATGACTTTGAAAACTCAGCTGACCCTGAGTTACAGAAGGCAGCCAGGGCTTACAGTCTGACTAGTTGATTGCTTGCTAAGCAAAACAATAAATCAGTACCTGCAGAGGACTTTAATAGGACCAAAGTGTCGTAAAGACATGTTTTCAATGTCCAGGATACAATCCGAGATTATATTAAAGAACCAAGAAAATCTCAACAACTGTTGAGGTGAAAGACAATACACATCAACCTCAACGTAGTCTCAAAACATAGTCTCAAAGCTGATAATGAGATTATCAGATTTTAAAGCAGGTGTTATAATCATGAAGTAAGAGTAAACATCCTTGAAATAAATGGAAAGATGGAAGTTCTAAGGAAATAAATAAAAACTTAAAAAGAGAGATAAAAGAGGAAAAAATCACATGGAAATTTAAAAATATAATTCAGGAGCTAGCCAGTGACATGGTGACTGAGGCGCTGGACATGGCTGACCACAGTTCAAGTCCTGAACCTGAAGGCTTGCTTTCTCACTTTCCTTCTCTCTCTCTCTCTCTCTCTCTCTCTCTCTCTCCCTCCGTTTCTCGTGAGCACACATGCCCGATAGCAAATTAAAATAATAAATAAATAATTATTTAAAAATACAATTGAAATAAAATTTTCACTGAATTGGCTCATGGCAAAATGGAGATGAAAGAAGAGAGAGTCAACAAAATTGAAAATAAATGAATAGAAATAACTCAACCTGAACAACAGAGAAAATAAAAAACATAGTCTCAAGGACCTATGATACAACATCTAAAGGTCTAAGCTTTGTGTCATTGAGGTGCTAGAGCATGC